ATTTTGACATCGTTTAAACTCGGAAACAAATCGGTACACCTGTCCCAACCGTACTTTGATGTACTTCTTGAATTTTGATCAAAATGGCTCGATGGCTTATTGGCTTTGACTTCGGTTCAGCAGCTACTTATTAAATTTCGACAGTTGAATTCACCGTGTTGATTGCTACTCAAAATTGATGGTTCTGATCTTGTCCTATTGGTTCGGTGCATCTGACTGACTACCGCCCTTTTGTTGTCATTTAATGATTCGAACCAAATGTCTTCTACCTAACCCGAACTTCTGTTATTGGCTGATTATGGAACAATTGAGATATTGTCGACGTCATTTTTCAACTTATCAATTGCTTTTGAAGTGTGACTCAGATAGTTTGGCACGTAAAAGGCCTGACATGGATTTTGATGTGCATTAGCTAGTCCCTGATATTGAGACGTGCCAGTTTATGCCATGTTCTTTCTTATGTGTATGACATGTGCCACTCTAATGGATATTTTCGATTAATCCGTCAAAAATTCTAGTTTCACAAGATTTAGTTTTTGTTTTTCCCAATATTTTTAAGATATATTTTTCTTTCTATTATTTTCAATCATACATTCTTTACTAAAATAATATATCACAGGTAAATTTAAAAATTTTATTTATTTTTTAATAACACATTTTTCATCAAAACGGAAGGTTAATGCTTGGAATTCAAATCTCACAAACAATTGAAAGAGGAGTCAATTGTTCATTTTAGTATAGAATGAAGATTGATTTTGATGATAGTAAGATTGGATATAATATATATATTTTTTATTCATTTAATGATCGGCTAGTCCTGCAAGATGGTCGAGCCGAGAGGTCGAATACCATACAATAAAGCTAGTTTTGAGATTTAATGTAGAAAGAGTCTATGTTGATTTCATATGTGATAATGCACGTCTACTAATTGCAATTACTTTTCTTTTTCTTGTGTGAGTTTAACATACGATATAACGATACGTTTCAATTTTCGAAATCACTCACTAATTCAACTCTGAAACTATGCATTAGCATTAGAGCTGCTAACTTTGTCGATATTCTTATTATTTCATTTGAATATACATAAGAAGTTGTCACCACCAACTCCTCTTTATGATTGACTATTTAATAAAACTCTGATTACGATCACACTAGTTTCGATACAAATCTCAACCCTATCAACTTGCATTTTACGCTATTTAATTACCTTAAAATTATAATATAGCCTTCACGATTTATAGATTAATGACGTTGGTCAGCATTTATAATTTGATTTTCAGAATTATACGAAATGATGGGATAAGTATCTCTACGAATTTATCCCGCAATCACCGACAGTTGGATTTGTGAGAAGAAGTGGTTCACAGCGGTGCATTCAATGATTAGGTACGTAATTATTTTACAAAATTGAGTCCCAAAAGAAGGCACGACTGATTCCATGTGGAGGATCCTCGTTATTACACATGGTGAATGCGTGTGTCCATACTCCATTATTATTTTAATTAAATAATTTAGTTTCCATGGGTCAGCCTCAGCTATGAATCAAGATATTAAAGTCAACTACTTTTCTGCTGCTGGCTCTACTTTACAGTGAGGCAAAATGTGTCAATATTCTGCCCCCCAGGGCACTTCTCCACTGGCAAAGGACGGACGCTGTCAAACCTGGCAGAGCAGAGGTCGTGAGTTCGAAACATGGGGCTCTTGGAAGGCAAGGATTTATTCTTGGAAGGCAAGGGAACATTTGGAAGGCAAGGATTTATTCTTGGAAGGCAAGTGGGAACTTGGAAGGCAAGGATTATTCTTGGAAGGCAAGGTGCAACTTGGATTGGCTTGCTTGGCACTTTGTCAGACCAGGTGGGGAGCGCTCGGACCCTGGCCAGTCGGAGGCACATCCTGCGATTAACCGGACTGTGTGAAGAGGGGCCGGATCACAGACCCAAGGATTAGTCAAGAATTGGACACCTTGTAAAAAAAAAAAAAATGTGTCAATATTCTTTTTTCTTTTTTCTGCATCTCTTCTTTTTCAAATGAATAACGTTATTCGCAGTCAATCAATATCGTAGTTACTCTACGCGACATACATGTAATAGTTATTGATTTGATGCATTAGTAGTTAGTAATTTGATGCATTAGATAATAAAAAATTATTACAAAAATACATCAAATCACTAACTGTCACATATGTGTCACGTAGAGCAATTATAACAGTGAGCGACTGCAATAACATTATTATTATTTTTTTCAAAAATGTGATTGATACCTTAAAACATATGCGATTAGAAATAAATTTACGATATGAATATGTAAGATTAAATTTGTGAAATTCTCATCATCACTCTAATATAATTCACTCTTGAGGCATTTTATATTTTGACTTCAAAATTCAAAGAGATATGTGACGAACGGATTCTCGACCGCCTCTCATTCACGTAGGCATCACCTGCATGTTGCTACACACCATTAGGATACAAAGGTCACCGACCAAGAAAAAAGCCTTACAATCGTTTGCATTCTAACAGTCAAATCAATGGTCAAACAGAAAGAATGCGTCTCTGTGTGTGGAAGAAGGAAAATGAGCCAAGTGAGGCTAAAGGATCGAGTCCAAACTCAATATGAGATTACTTGATTCGATCGATCCAATTCAATTAATATTATCGATGTCGAGTGGACCAATGTGGAACCTCTTTTGTCATGTGTATGTCATATAATTTATAAATATAATAATATATATACATTTCTATCCAATGATTATTAAATTATATTTTATTATATAATTTGAATTTTAACACTTGCCAATTAGTTTCAATTTGTAACCATGACGAAACATCTCAAGTTTGTTGGGAATCACTACAAGCAATGGAAAAAATGGACGTTTTCATCAAGCTTTAGTAGACGCAACTTGTTTTCGTCATTTTGATACAAATCCACACTTCGTATTATCACGTTGTTAATAAGTTATATAATTTTTTAATCTTGAAAGCGTACTTTCATAATTGAAATAAAGTTAAATAAAATTTAATAAATTGACAAAATAATATCCCGTTTAAATTAACTATGAATAAATCTTGATTTATCGTTTTTCTTTACATTTTGCAAAGTATTACATAACCAATGAAGAATAAATATATATTCCATTACTATCAAATTTATACGTTATGAAGAAATATAAGTTAAATTATATTTAATATACAATAATCTTATCCATTAATTATTTATTATATAATTATTATTGGTTTTTTTTTTTTTTTTAGAAAAACGTTTTTAAATAAATAAGTGAATTGCGTGGTCATTGTTTTATACAAAAAGATGCTAAAATCATTCACACTCGCATGTTTTTTATTCGCACGTTTTGCGTCACCTTTACATACAATTAATAACTCTCCAAGTCCTCTAGATAAATACATGATAGAAATTCCAATTGTTATTCAATTAAATTAGTTCTCGAACTATTCTGTATTTTCTCTTCAGGAAAAGCCAAGAACAACCGATACACCGAAAAAAAATTGGTATTCTGAAATTACGGGCGGAAATGGATTGGGTTCGTGGTCAAAAATTGGGGAATGGAAGCTTTGGAACGGTGAATTTAGCCGTATCCAGAAGCCAGAGCTCTCAAATTCCACAACTGATGGCCGTGAAATCTTGTGGGGCGTCTGTTTCTGATTCGCTCATGAACGAGAAATTGATCCTCGATGAGCTTAAAGATTGCCCAGAAATCATTCGCTGCTTTGGGGAAAATTTTACTGATGAAAACGGTGAGAAATTGTATAATGTATTGTTGGAGTATGCTTCCGGTGGCTCTTTGGCGGATAAAGTGAAGAATTGCCGGGATAATCGGCTGCCGGAGAGTGAAGTCCGGCGGTATACAAAGGCTTTACTGAAAGGGCTTAATTATATTCACAAGTTTGGTTTTGTTCATTGTGATATTAAGCTCCAGAACATTCTTATGTGCCCAGATGGTGGTGTAAAGATTGCGGATTTTGGCTTGGCGAAGAGAGTTGAAAGACAGAAAGTGGGTGATTCTGGGTGTGAATTGAGGGGTACGCCACTGTATATGTCGCCGGAGATGGCTACCGGAAACGATCAGGGTCCTCCCGCCGACATATGGGCACTTGGGTGTGTGGTGGCGCAGATGGTCAGTGGAGCTTCGCCGTGGAGGTGTTTCGGCTTGGCGGAGCTACTGATGAGAATCGGCGTTCATGGCGAGAAGCCGGAGGTGCCCAGTAATTTATCATCAGAAGGAAAAGATTTTCTTGGAAAATGTTTTATTAGTGATCCAAGTAAGAGATGGACGGCTGAGATGCTTTTAAACCATTCCTTTGTAGATGATCAAGAATTTGCTGGCACTGTTACATCAAAAGGTAGTCATCATGAAGATCATGCCTCGACCTCTCCTAGGTGTCCATTTGATTTCCCTGATTGGACAATTACATCTTTGCCCTCGCCGGAATATTCCTCAAAATCTAGCTCATGGTTTCTTGAAGAGGCAAATTCGACAACTGGGTCGAAGTCCATTCCGCCGGCGGAGAGGCTGCAAGGACTAGTGAGCGATCGTCTGCCTCATTGGGATTGGTCCGGTCTAGATGACTGGCTCACCGTTAGATGACGTGAAAATCTTGATAGAATATCAAATTTTTGTAGATATTTTTCTCTATGCCTGATTTTTTCTTTGTACATAAAATTGATAGAAAAATGATTATTCCATGTTTATATGGTTGAACACTCTTGATAAGATTCGAATTTTTTTTTTTTTCAAAATTCTGTTTATTACAGTATAATCGATCTTATTACAAGTAAAATGGTTAAGTTTCAGCATAAAGGAAATATTTACTCTATGATACAAATTTTGTTCGAAAACTGAGACTTGCAGCTATGATTTGGGCAACAGTCTCGAAATTCTGCCTAATTACCACTTTGCACGCGATTTATTTACCCTTTTGGTACCCATTTTTATGATAATGAGAATGAAAAATATAATCGTTATGGGATCCGCACAAGGATTAGAAAGTCAAATATGGTGACTTGATGTGATAGACCACGATCATATTTTTCATTCTTATAGCCAAAGAATGGAAATTAAATAAAGGCTTAGTCTCTTCCAACTAACATTTGAATCCATGACTAGAAACCCTCACATACAATGAAAAAGAAGAGTGAAAAATAAGAGTTATTTGCAAGGAAATTACAGGTGCTGTGTTGGTAGCACACCTATTTATTATTTTTTTTGGCCATATTCCAATGTAAAAAATGTCACAAGGAAATTACAGTTGCTGTGTTGGCAGAGCACCTTTATGTGTCCTTTATTTTATTTTATTATTTTGCCATATTCCAATGTAAAAATGTCAAGTATCATCTAGCAATCCCCCTAACAGTGTTTTATCTATACAGATAGCACGATTGGAAAAATAATTGCTTGTTTGGTCAAATTCATTTTAGCCCATGTTTGACAATTATTATAGTGAGAATTTTGAGTAAAAATGTATTTTAGAATAGTAATTTTTGGGAGAATGTGTGGTTAAAAAAGAATAAATTTTTTTAAATTTACATGTAATATTATTTTATTAAAAATTTTGAAATTAAAAAGAAGAAAAAGAAAGATATATTAAAATTTTAAAGGAATCAAACGAGGGCTTAATATATAGACAAGTACGCATAATATTTATAGATAACTTTTAAACCAAAAAAAATAAAATAAAATACAATTTTAACAAGATTGGATGTGTTATGTTGACCTGAAGGGAATTCTATTCATAAAAATTATACGATCTCGATAAAAATGTGAATGGTACAATAAGACAAATATCATTGTATCTTTAATCCGTGAAATTATATAATATCCAAGTGTAATGTGATGACATCAGACTTTTTAAAAGGGGTGTGAATATGAGAACTTACTACTTAGTTAAAAAAAATAAAACAAAATGAAAAATATTCAATTTTATTTAGCGTCCACTTTCAAACCTTCTCGACTAAGTCCTGTTTGGACCCCATTTTTTGGTAATGAAAATGGGTGGAATAGTATTTTTTTTAAAAATGAGTGGTTAAAAAATAAGGAAATTTTTTTGATTTACGTGTATTATTATTTTATGGAAGATTGTGTGGTTGAAAATATGAGAGTGAAAAATAGAATGTAATAGAATGTAATTTAATGGGGGCAGAAAATCATGCCAGAGATGACTCCCCGTAATCATTTAAGAAATCCAACTAGGTGCTCTTGAAGATACCCTGCTCTCCTAGTTAAGGGGGTGTTCGTGCCCCATTATTTGTGAGTAATATATTATGGAATAGTGATTGGAAATACGTAGTTAAAAAAATTTTTTAATTTACATATAATATTATTTTAATGAAGAATGTGTGGTTGAAAATGAATAATATAGAAAAATAATGAGGTACAATATAGTATAATGGTAGACAAACAAAGCCTAAGTCCATGTTTGACAACCTTTTTTTGGTATAAAATGAATTTTTTAATAGTAAATTTTTGAAGAATTTGTGGTTAAGAGTAAAAAAAAATTTTAGATTTACATGAAGGATATTTCATTGTGAGAATGTGTAGATGAAAATAAGTATAATTATTATTATTATTATTATTATTATTATTATTATTATTATTTTGGAAGAATGGTTATCAAACAAAGACTAAATTCGCAGTAATCCACCTACGTGACTTTGAATAAGTCTTCCAATCAGATAAAGCAATTAGACGCACATTATCTTGCTTTCTTACCTAAACTGGGGGTGGATAAATCTAAGGTCAGATAATTATACATGACAAGGATTAGTCATAAACAAGATAAGAAGTTTAGATCAGCTGCTCTTGGTATTCCTCGTACGGGAATGCATGTTTAGCTCCCGTTTGTCCACCGTTAAAGTAAGAAATGAGTTTTGAAATAATGAATTTTTGAAGAATACGTGTTTAAAATGTAGAAATTTTTTTTGAAGTTATGTACGGAATATTTTATTGTGAGAATGTGGTTGAAAATGAATTTAAAAAAAAAAAAAAGAGTCTTAAAATAATGATAGACAAACAGGAGCTTAATTTGTAATAATGTAGATCAAATTTTAATATCTTCATCTTCCCAATCATGTTCGATGGTGTTGAATACATCAAGCTTGACAAATTTTTGAAGGTAACTCTTAAAACAGCGGACGCTATTTAGAGCATTTTCACGATCCCTCTAATTTTCAAATGCATAATTTAAAGAACATCTCTAAATTTAAAGAATAAAAATTTTGAAATACTCCAACAATCTTTTTATCATTAGAGAGTAAAATTTTTATTACTTTCAATGTGTATTTATTATTTTTTCCTATCTTTTATTTTTACCAACATTTTTCTTAATTATCATATTATTTTCTTCCATTCTTTTTGTATATACTATTTAGTTGGGTCAATATATGGAGCATTGAAAATTAGAATATTTTGAATGTATTTAATTGTAAAGAGTGCTTGGTTCTTCAAACTTGGAAAATCAAACTCAATTTCCATTTTCAATTGTTAATTTGAAGAGTCCTTTGAAACTTTATTATAAGGATAGACATTTTAATAATGAAGAGCGTTTCACTTTTAAAGAACATCTTGAAAATGTTGTTAAAAATAAGAAAAAAGTTATAATATAATCAATTACACTAACATAATAAAGCCTTGCTGCACTTATAAACAGGAAAGTCACATATTTTTTCAAAACAACTCACAGTGGGCATCGATGGGTGATACATTTAGGCTTTTTTTTTTTTTTTTTTTTTTTATACATGGGCTCCACACGTATCTGTTCTGGCAGAATTCTGTGAACTGAAATTCTATACAAATGGAAATTTCCAACATAATATTAGGAGAGTTGATTTTTGTCAACCATTGAAACCATTTTCTTCTACTTATCTGTTTAAAATGTCGTGTCTGATCAAAGTTTTATTTTTTCAAGTAAAATCTCAAATAAAGTCAATGAAGCTTCTTCCTTCGCTTCCAAGTTAGTGGAACCAAATTCTGGTGTTTTCTTGGCAATTATTCACTTTTACCTTTTGTAAATATAAAAACAATCCCACCACGCGTCTCTGATATAAACTCAAGCTACAGTCTAATCTTATCTAAATTTTAGACAAGTCATTAAAGAAGTCAAGTCGTATCCAATAATATAACTATATATTCCTTTGTTTCCTATCTTTATCTAATTAAAGAACATAGCGCCACTTCAAATTTTAACCAAAAGTACTGTCCACGAAAGAGAACTTTAAGTAAGATTCTCTCTAAAGTAGGAAAATAAAACTTTCCACTGTGGGTCGAAGAATATGAGCGTTTAAGTAAATTCACATTGATTATTAAACTTTAGACCATGTTTGAACCTCTTTTTTTTGGGGGGTGGGGGGTGGGGGG